CTAGTCTAAACTAGTCTAATTTTCTTTTTAATCAGGGCAAATATCCCACTAAGTGACTAGCCTCATTTTTGTGAGTATAAGCTTACTTACTTACTAGTTTCTTTAGTATGAGCTTACTTACTTACTAGTTTCTTTAGTATGAGCTTACTTACTTACTAGTTTCTTTAGTATGAGCTTACTTACTTACTAGTTTCTTTAGTCTGAGCTTACTTACTAGTTTCTTTAGTATGAGCTTACTTACTAGTTTCTTTAGTCTGAGCTTACTTACTTACTCGATCATCCTGTAGTCTATTGTCTATTGACTAGATCATTTCCAATCATCTAGTTCAATGATCTTTCAATCTTTCTCTCTTCCTCTCTTCTTCCTGTCATTATTCTTAAAGTGAACGCTGAATAACTTTAACTAAACAAAGATCTTTCAATCTTTCATTGAGAAAATGCGGAAAAGAAGATAATTTTCGTGACTTTTTAGAGGAAGAGACTGGGAAGAAAGGCGTTAAGATTCTTCGGGAAAAGAAGAGGCGATTGAACGGATCGAGTCACGCCAAAGTCTACTTCTCTTTCTCTTTCTCTTTCTCTTTCTCTTTCTCTTTCTCTTTCTTTGTCTTTTCATGAAGAAGGGAAATATCTGATCCAAGGGCTAACCAATTAAATCTTTCCCAAACAACTACTCCAATCACCGTCACACTCGAGCGGAGAAACACAGAAGTTCCCTTCTTTCTCGAGGCAGTAAAGTGATATCTGCGTTATCTGAGCATCGGTTTTTATAAGTAATGATCAAAAGAGATCAAAAGATCTCACTGTTCGTCCACTATCGCCACTTTTGAACAAATAGATCCTGTAATTACTCTAATAGAAGCGCACCGTCCCCCTACAACATTGATCACCTAAAAAGTCACTAATTTTGAAAAAGATTTTTGCTGAAAGGTGCTTAGAATGGGGTAAATGGATCATATGTTTCAGCTCAGCGCTCAGCTCAGCGTTAAGCTCAGTGCTCAGCTCAGCGCTCAGCTCAGCGTTTAGCTCAGCGCTCAGCTCAGTCCTTAGCTCAGTCATTAGCTCAGTCATTAGCTCAGTCCTTAGCTCAGTCATTAGCTCAGTCCTTAGCTCAGTCCTTAGCTCAGTCATTAGCTCAGTCATTAGCTCAGTCATTAGTTCAGTCATTAGCTCAGTCCTTAGCTCATTGGCGAGTTCTGCAGCTAGCTTCCCGAAAAGATGAAAATCAGAATCAGACTAAGGGAGATGAGGGAAATTCACTCTAACTCCTTCAATTTTTCTTTTGTCTCTAATTTCCTAGGTGATTGTTTGTTATCGATTTGCAAAAGATTGTTTATTTGATATGATTGATAGATTGACAAAGATTGACAAGAGCTGTTTCATCGAAATCACTGGCTCAGCTCAGTCTTTAGCTCAGTCCTTAGCTCAGTCATTAGCTCAGTCATTAGCTCCAAAGAAAAGTCATTCTTGAAACGATTGTATACGATTGATAGACCTCTTGAGTCTTGCCCATAAACAATATTAATCTCTTCATGAACCTCATTGACTGGAACTTTGACGAAGAAAATGACATGTCGAAGATGAGCAGCTCTTGAGAAGCTCCAAAGAAATCTTCAAAGAAATCACAAATAAAGCTAGAAAGTGAATTTCATCAAAGCTTTTGTTTGCTTTTGCTTGCTTTAAGCTTTCATTTAAGCGATCAATCGGAGAAACTTCCAATAGACTTTTTTTCTAAAGGAATCCATCAAAAATGGTAGCGGTGCGCGAAGTGAACAAATTCCTTTATCAGCGATTGTCTCTGATGCTTTATCAAAGAAATCAGAGAAATCAAAGACTCTCTTTCAACCTAATACAAGATCGATGAACTTTCTTTCCAACTTAATACAAGATCGATGAACTTTCTTTCTAGCCTAATACAAAAGCTACGATGTTCGACGAACTTTCTTTCCAACCTAATGCAAGATCGACGAACTTTCTTTCCAACTTAATACAAGATCGATGAACTTCCTTTCTAACCTAATACAAGATCGACAAACTTTCTTTCCAACTTAATACAAGATCGATGAACTTCCTTTCTAACCTAATACTAAATCTACGATGTTCGACGAACTCCCTTTCCAACCTAATACAAGTAAATTTAGCTAAAAACTAGTGGAGAAAGTACTACTGTATTCGAAAATGCGCTTTGTTAATGGAAATTTCTTTTAAACACACATCACTTGACGCTTACAGTAAAAGAACTTTTTAAGAATAAAGATAAAGATTGATTGATTGATTGATTGATTGATTGATTGAAATTGATTGAGAATTGATTTGAAGAATTGAGCTGAAGAATTGATTTGGTGAATTGATTTGGAGAATTGATTTGGAGAATTGATTTGGAGAATTGATTTAGTGAATTGATTTGGAGAATCTCAAGATAAAGATTGCTAGCTAGCACTAGTTTTATGTTATTTGGTTTCTTTTTGTAAAATCTTATTCTTTTGCTTCTCTCTTCTACGAGTTTTGTAAAATGTTTGCTTTGAACTAGTTTAGTCACAGATGAATCATCCAGAAAAGTGCCTAATCTTCAGGATTGATTTCTAAGAAATTCAACTTGACTTGACTTCAAGATTTCTAAGAAATTCAACTTTAAATTGGACAAAGAATCAATCAAAATCTAATTCAATAATCCAATAAAAGGTTTTCCTTGTTTTTTTACTTGTTTCTTGTTTCTTTTCTTGTTCTTTCCTTGTTCCTTTCCTTGGTCCTTTCCTTGCCCCTTCCCCCGTTCCCCCCCCCCTTCCTTTCCCCTCCCCCTCCTCGTCCTTTCCTTGCTCTTTTCTTGTTCCTTTTCTTGTTCCTTTCCTTGGTCCTTTCCTTGGTCCTTTCCTTGGTCCTTTCCTTGGTCCTTTCCTTGGTCCTTTCCTTGGTCCTTTCCTTGCTCTTTTCTTGTTCCTTTTCTTGTTCCTTTCTTGTTTCTTTTCTTGTTCCTTTTCTTGTTCCTTTCCTTGGTCCTTTCCTTGGTCCTTTCCTTGGTCCTTTTCTTGTTCCTTTCCTTGTTCCTTTCCTTGTTCCTTTCCTTGCTCTTTTCTTGTTTCTTTTCTTGTTCTTCTCTTGTTGCTTGTTTCTTTTCTTGTTTCTAAAATAGTTTTTTTTTGTTATCATTCCAAAAAACCCGTTGTCTAACACCTCGTAAAAAGTTAATGACTAGAAAAAAAGAGGACATCGTTTTTTATTGAATTGTTTTCAGTTATATAACTAATATTTCTTCAATTTCTTCAATTTCTTAAATATTTTCCGTTTAATCAATAGCTTTTCAGTGAATTTCCCTCAAAATGAATATTTCATGGGAAAAACAGGGGATAATTTGACTGAGGCAAGATCGGACAACTAGGCAGAGCATTCAATTCAAAGCATCGGGCAGCATTCAATTCAAATTGCAAGGAGATTTAGAGTTTGTCCAAGGCAAAGACTAAATCTTTTTACCCTAAAGTCTCGAGTATAAGTTCTGCCTTAATTTACATTCGCTTTAATTGCTTTGAATTTCTTTTTGTTGGGTTTTTATACATTTTTATTGTTATATAAACTTTTATTATTGTTCTTGGAGCGCGGGATACTACAGGCCTATCACCATTGCTATTTGTTATGGATACATCCAGACGATAGTGTTGATGAAGACGTTGGAAAGCATCTCTTTCGACCGTCGACGTGGACTTTGGCCGGATGAGGAGACAGACAGACGGACAGACAGACGGACAGACAGACGGACGGACGGACATACGGACAGACAGACGGACAGACAGACGGACAGACAGGCGGACAGACAGACGGACAGACAGACGGACAGACAGACGGACAGACAGACGGACAGACAGGGAGGGAGGGATCCATAAGACTGAGCACCGGAGAGGAGCAGGGCGGACGCGCCGAGTCACGCCCGGAGCAACAAATAACAGCCATAACAGCAACAAATAACAGCATAAAATTGCTATAACCCTCAATAAATTTACTTCTATTATTGTTCTTGTTAATTGTTAACTTAAAAAGCAAAAAAGTTATGCTGCAGCGGGGTTCGAACCCTCGACACACCGCACCGGAGACAGCCGTCAATTTGCATGCGAAAACCAAACAGAACTTATACTCGCGACTTTAGGGTACATTAAACAACTTGAAAGGTATAGCTTTTGAAAACTCGAATAACTTTGAGCTAAATTTCTGGTTTAGTTACGCAAATTTGCGGTAAAAATTGTTATTTTGCCAATCTTACCCCTGAATTTCTATCCAATTCGAATTTTCACCAAAAGAAACTTCTTAAATTCGTTTTTTTTTAGTAATTTTTTAGAATAACTTGATTTTAACCTTTCTTGGGTTGTTTTTTCTTGAGAACACTCCTATTCACATCCAAAAATTGGCTCCAATCGGCTCCAGTCATTGACTTGTTGTTCAACAAACGAGATTTCGCTTCCTTTATCAATTTATCTAGTTTTCAATATTGCCGTCAATTTAGGCGGCTCAGCTCCGTCAATCACCTTTCGTGAAATTCTCGAATGTGTGTCCCGATCAAAAGACGCTTCAAACGAGCATTTAAGTTTATACGGAAAAGTGGATGTGATCTACTTGAAAAGTGATCTACTTCTTAAAGCTTTATTTCTTTCCCTCTCCCCAAATCCAACCTCTTTGGCAGAAGCTCTATATCATGCTTATATCTATATCAAGATATTTAGCTCTAAATTTGTACCCCGGGGTTTTTCAGGGTCGAATCGTTTCAGGGTGTAATTCGATTGCCCACAACTCGCCAATTTCCGTTTAGCTTTAATTGTTTAGCTTAACGTTTAGCTTAACGGAAATTGGTGAGTTGTGGGCAAAGATTTAGCTTTAATTAGCTTTATTTATCTTTATTCATCTTTATTCATCTTTATTTATCTTTATTTATCTTTATTTATCTTTATTTATCTTTATTTATCTTTATTTATCTATTTTCTTATATAATTCGTTAGAATTTCTAATAATTTCTTAAGAAAATGAACGATTCTCTCGAGGAGAACATCTCAACATCGACTCCAGCTGCCACAATGAGCCCCGATCAAATGGCCATGGTGTTAGCTTTCTACAATGAAACTGTTGCTTTTGAGCAAATGGTTTGCTAATGTTTGCTAATGTTTTATTAGAAATTGAAAAATAGATTTTTCACAAGTGTAATCATATGAATAATACTTGAAAAATCATTCAAAACAACTCCTAAAATAGAGCTGAAACGTCAGACTGACCCATAACGATCGTGACGAAGTATTTGAAAGCAATAAGTGCTTGATGTACATTAATATTGGATAAAGTTTAGTTCTTTTAAAACTAGAGACTCTTAGCTACAAAATAATACCTCAATTGTGAAAATTGGCCGAGTATTCGTTTCTATTCGAGTGAAACTTGCCACTCAAAGAGTCGAGTCGTGGCCTGTCTACCGAATTTCCTATTTAAAGCCTTTTAAATCCAACTACCCAACCGAAAACCAAAATTGTTTTGTAGAAATCTTCATTCTCTATCCATTGACATCAATGACATCATCTATCCAATGAAACGTGCCACTCAAAGAGTCGAGTCGTGGCCTGTCTACCGAATTTCCTATTTAAAGCCTTTTAAAGCCAACTACCCAACCGAAAACCAAAATGGTTTTGTAGAAATCTTCACTCCCTATCCAATGACATCAAAAGTAAAACAGATGATTAAAGAGATAAGATTCTGAGGAAAAATGTAAGTCAAAGGTCTACATTTCGTCAGATGCTCCTTCCATCCCTTTCTTGAAACTTCTTTCTTGAAAAATTACACAAAAAAGTGTCAAAAGACAACCTAATATATCTTATTTTTAATGTCAATGGATAGAGAATGAAGATTTCTACAAAATTTTTTTTAGATTTTTGATTTTCGGTTGGGTAGTTGGATTTAAAAGGCTTTAAATAGGGAAATTCGGTAGACGGGCCCCGACTCGACTGTTTGAGTGGCAAGTTTCACTCGAATAGAAGCGAATACTCGACCAATTTTCACAATTAAGGTATTATTTTGTAGCTAAGAGTCTCTAGTTTTAAAAGAACTAAAATTTATCCAATATTAATGTACATCAAGCACTTATTGCTTTCAAATACTTTGTCACGATCGTTATGGGCCATTCTGTAACTCAAAACCGGCTAAGAAAGACATTTTAAAGTTGTTTAATGTGATGTTTAATGTGAAATCTTATCTTTTCAGATTGGTATCATCATTCCATCGATCTTTGCCTTGATTATTCTTATCGGCGTTGTGGGTAATGTGCTGGTGGTTGTGGTGGCACTGCATCGACAAATGAGAAATAGCACGAATACGTTGATCATCGGTTTGTTGATTAAGCCGTTGCAAAATTGCAAAATTTCCTTTGCTTTTACGATCCTTAATTTACTAGATTGCACAACTAAAGGATGAGGCTATAGAAAAAATAAAGATCAACTATCAAAAGTGCCTATAAGCACTAAAGTCTTTTTTTTTCCTTTTTTTTCTGCGGCTATTGATGCCAAAGTCGGGTTCTTTGTCTCAAATTTGATCCGAATGTGATCAGAATTGATATTCGCTTTGATTTGATTTGAAAGTGTTTAAAATAAACAAAAACTTTATCAAAATAGGTTCAGTAATAGGAAATGATATTGAAGAGAGGAAAATGACAAAAGAAACGCCTTATAAAGTGGAGTAAATTGCCTTAGATTGCTTTAAATAGCTTTAAATTGCCTTAAGCTGCCTTAAATCGCCTTCAATCGCCTTAAATCGCTTTAAATTGCCTTAAATCGCTTTAAAATGCCTTAAATTGCCTTAAATCGCCTTTAATCGCTTTAAATCGCCTTAAATCGCTTTGAATCGCCTTAAACAGCCTTAAATTGCCTTAAATGGCTTTAAATTGCCTTAGATTGCCTTAAACAGCCTTAAATAGCCTTAAATCGCTTTAAATCGCCTTAAATTGCCTTAGATTGCCTTAAATCGCTTTAAATTGCCTTAGATTGCCTTAAATGGCTTTAAATTGCCTTAGATTGCCTTAAATCGCTTTAAATTGCCTTAGATTGCCTTAAACAGCCTTAAATAGCCTTAAATCGCTTTAAATCGCCTTAAATCGCCTTAAATCGCCTTAAATTGCCTTAAATCGCCGTTAATCGCCTTTAATCGCCTTAAATCGCCTTCAACAGTAATCATCGACGAAATAATCCGACGAAAGTGAAAGTAAAAAGTAAAAAAGTACAGGCAAAAGACTCGCGATTTAGAAGAACAGAAAGTCAACTTTTCGCAAGACGTTTTCAAGTTGAGATTCGATTTGAAACAGTGCCAAGTTCGAGAAATTCGAGTTGAAACAGTGCCAAGTTAACGTATTTTATTGAAATCATTTCCAGGACTTGCCGTCTCGGATTTGATGTTTCTCCTGCTATGCATCCCATTCACGGCAATCGATTACGCGATGCCCGTTTGGGTGTTCCCAGAATGGACTTGCTCGATGATCAACTATTTTCAAGTAAATCAAAATGATCAAAAGGATCAAAAAGATCAAAATGATCAAAATGAGATAAATGAGATAAATCAATAGATTTAAAGAGAAAAGCTTTCAGCAAATAAGCCAATCAATCATTTTCAGTAATTTCAGTAATTTCAGCAATTTCAATAATTCCACTAATTCTTTTTTCAGCATATTTCCGCCTATTTCTCTGTGTGGACGCTCACATTGATGGCGTTGGATCGATTTTTGGCCGTTTGTTTTTCCCGTTGATTCGATGACTCTTCGAAGCACCACCAACACTGTCATCATTATGTCCATTGTTTATGCAATCATTCTTGTTTCTCAGGTATGTAATAAGAAAGTGAAGAAATTGGCAAGAAGGGTACCGTAAATACTGTAATAGTACCCCACCCCCCTCGTACAGTCGCGTAGTCGCAAAAGTTTTTTAGTATTTCATTTTTTTCAAAGCACCCGTACTTTCAAAAAATGCGTCTTTGGTATCAAAAAATAGCCCTGAATTTCAGCTATTTTTTGATATTTAAACGAGCATTGTAGCATAAACCAGTGTTGAGAAAAACTCGTTCAAAGTTAGACTACGCAACACTCCGCACCGTCATTATGAGGCTGGGCATTATGGCGTCATTATGGGGCTATTACAGTATTTACGGTAGATTTTTGGAGAGGGGATTGAACCCTCGAGATTTTTGGAGGGGATTATTTCCTGGGCCATTGCTCTAACCACTCAGCTATCGGGTACCTTAACTTGCCAAGAGAAAGATGGAAAGACAAGGGGGAAGAAGAAAGGAAGGAAGAAAGAAGGAAAGAAGGAAGGAAGGAAGGAAGGAGGGAAGAAAGAACGAAGAAAGATGGAAAGAAAGCTGGAAGGAAGAAGGAAAGAAGATCGAAAGAAAGAAGGAAGGAAGAAGGAAAGAAGATCGAAGGAAAGAAGGAAGGAAGGAAGGAAGAAAGAAGGAAGAAAGAAAGAGAAAGCTTTCTAAATTAGCGGAGTCATTTTGGGAGATTTTCTTTGTGCTTCTTTGTGCACTCACCCTTTCTGACGTACTCGTTTTTTAATTTTGTGAACAAGTGCGCCAGCAGAGATGTGTTTCTATTTGCACAAAGTACACCAAAATCCATTCAAAGTACACAAAGATCTTTAAGATTCCAATCGGCCTCATGCACGGGATTTTCCACTACGAGTTCATCATCGAGAATCGCTCGACATGTGCCATTGTGAGCATCGCCGACAATTCGGCTACGATAGCACAAGTAAACTTTCAGAATCATAAGATGAAATTCATGAAATTCAGGCAAGAGGGTATTTCTTTACATTCAATCTTTTTGGCTATGTTCTACCATTGGGAATCCACTTGTGTGCTGTACTATTTTATGCTCAATCGACTCTGGCAAACGCCAAGGCCAGGCACTTGCAATAGCGTAAATTTTTATCGAATCTTACTAAATGGAAATTTTCGAGCTGCCTCTTGTAGAGGAGCCTCTGGTACAGGAGTCTCTCTGTACAGGAGACTCTTGTATAGGAGCCTCTTGTACAGGAGACTCTTGCCCCTTTATTACAGGAGACTCTTGTACAGGAGTCTCTTGTACAGGAGCCTCTTGTACAGGAGCCTCTTGTACAGGAGACTCTTGTACAGGAGCCTCTTGTACAGGAGACTCTTGTATAGGAGCCTCTTGTACAGGAGCCTCTTGTACAGGAGACTCTTGGACAGGACCTTGTAAAAGAGACTCTTGTACAGGAGCCCCTGTTACAGGAGCCTCTTGCAGGAAAGCCTCTTGTACAGAAGCCTCTTGTACATGAGCCTTTTGATATTTTAGTTGAACAGCTCAATCAGAAGCCGACCGGAAACTGTGAAAGCAAAAAGAAAGTGACTCGTTTGGTGCTTTGTGTGGTGATTATTTGGGCGGTTTGCTGGTTGCCACTCAATGTCTGCTTCTTCTTTTCAGGTATGGCTTTAAAAGTGATAAAAGCTCAGGATAAAATAAAGCTCTAGTAAATGCTTTAATGCATAAACAAGTTAAATAAGGTAATAGATTAAATAGGCAATGAAAAGGCAGCTCAAGGCGATAACTAGGATGGGCATTTCTATCTAAATCTTCTAAAAAAATCAGTTCTGGATATCTTTAAATAACTCAGTTTTTCTAAGCTTATTTTATAAGATTTATAAGCTTAGTTTATAGCTTTTCATATAGAATCAGATAAGAGTTGATGACAAGCACACATTGCTTAGCTCTTTATGCTTCTGTGGCTTAGGATTGTTGCAAATTTTTACCCAGATCACATCCGAATTGATTCATTTTCAATACAAACCATTTGATAAAGTGCTTCGATTCTAAAAACAAGAGAAATGCTTACTTACACATATGATTTAACGTCGACTCTCGCTTTAACTCTCGATCTCGATACAACGATTGTGAAATTCTAAAACACGTCCTTGCTTCCTGCGTAGCTGCCTAGCTAAAACCAAGCGTTGGCCGTTCAGGGCAGCTACGCCCAGCCAAAGCAATCGTTGGCCGCTCAGGGCAGCTACGCCCAGCCAAACGCAATCGTTGGCCGCTCAGGGCAGCTACGCCCAGCCAAAGCAATCGTTGGCCGTTCAGGACAGCTACACTCAGCCAAACGCAGTCGTTGGCCGTTCAGACAGCTACGCCCACCCAAACGCAGTCGTTCGCCGTTCAGGGCAGCTACACTCAACCAAACGCAATTGTTCGCCGTTCAGACAGCTACGCAAGAAGTTTCTGGCACTTTTAGAATCGTTAGAATCATTAGAATCGTTTCGAATCGTTAAAGCGAAATGTTTCGTCTCAAGTGAATCGTTAAATCGAGAGTCGACTATAATTATTGGGGCTGATAAGGAAATCTTTGCACAGCTTTAGCACTGGAAATTTCTTAAAAAACGAATCCACCAATTCAAGAACACTTTATTCTCTTATTGACAAATCGACTGCAATCGACTTTAGCCACTTTCTTCCTTTTTTCCGACTTGTTTACCCGTTCACATTCTGCGTTTTTCCCCATTTCCAGCATTTTCAAGAACTCCTAAGGCTTTCCCTTAGAATGGCTTTATTCTAAGGCAATTCTAAGGCTTTCCCTTAGAATTTAGAGAGAGAGAGAGAAAGAGATTTATTATTCAGCTCCATTTTTTTCAGATCCAGCTTATTCAGCTCACTTTTGCACAAGAAAAACGATTCCTTATAGGGTAAACCTAAAATAAATGAGCAATACGTTCTAGACTTCGGAAAACAAAACAAAACTTAACCAAAACCAAAACTACCAAAACCAAAAAAAACCATAACAAAACCAAAACCAAAACAAACCAAAACCAAAACCAAAACCAAAACCAAAACAAACCAAAACTCGCCAATATCTCGCGACTGGGAGGAGCTAGCGAAAATCTGTTTGCAGATTTGAAATCAGCATCCAAAAATCTATCCCATAGGCTATTTTTTGTTTCGAAATTTCGAGGTCGTGTTTTTGGTCCTTTTTTCGGCCGCGAGATTTTGTGGAGTGAGAAAAGTGAAAGGCAAATTTGCATTTTACATTAAAATTTGCATTTTACAATTTTAAATTTGCATTTTACAATTTTTAAATTTACATGTTAATTTATATGCAAATTGAGTTTTGGTTTTGGTTTTGGTGTTTTGGTGTTTTGGTTTTGGTTTTGGTTTTGGTTTTGGTTCTGTTTTGGTTTTGGTTTTGTTTGCCGAAGTCTAATATGTTCTATAATCCAAAAAATGGCTATTTCTTCACTCTTTTACTCTGAATCCGTCTCAATCTGCAGTAATCTGTGATCTGAATGTTTCCTTTCAATCTAGGCATGGCCTACCCGGACACTCTCGTCTTGCGAGGCGGCAAAGCGATGGTGATCGTTCAAATCGCCAGCCAAGTCCTCGCCTACACGAATTCTTGTCTCAATCCGATTCTCTACGCGTTGATGTCAGATAATTTCAGAAAAGGTACACTACAAAGCGAATTGTAAATACAAATAAGTACAATTTTTGCAGGCTTCGTCCGAGTGCTGAGCATTTTGTGCAAACGCGTTTCGTGTGGTCTTTTCTGTGCAAGTGAGCCGAAATCGATGAGCAGAATGGAGGTGAGGGGGAAGAGCAAAAAAGAAAAGCAAAAGAAAAGCATTTCAAAGCATCATTTTTCTTTTAGACAACTCGTAGAAAAGACTATCAGGTTATATCAGAGTTTGGTGATTTTTTTTCAAATTCTTTGATTTGAAGTGTGTATAATTTTGTTTTGAGTGTTGAGGATGATGGCGAATTTAGATTACAAATTTCCACGGCTCACACACAACCGGATCCCAACTTCCCACACAAACATCAATTAGGAGAGGGACAGCCGGCTCTCGGTGATTTCAAAGAAATACGATCGTTTAAAGTTGTTTAACAATACTCAACAACAATAGAAAAAAAAACAATAACAGCAATAACAATTTCTTCAAATTTGCAACTTCATGCCCAAAAACATTTAAAACAAAAAAATTCGGAACCGGTCCGGAATCGAACCCGGCACCCTCTCCGGGGCGACCGTTTGGGAAACGGGATGCTAACCCTATATCGTTCGACGCAGAATTTCACGCTGATCATGATGCTGTTTTTCTTTTCGCTAAGAAGCACACTGTCAAAAGTTATACGCGTTTAAAGTTTTTGCAAGGAGTTTGAAAAATGTAAAATGAAAAATGAAGAATGAAACCGAGAAATGACAACACCCTGTCTTCCGTGACGCAAGTAGTGGCAGCGGTGGCCGAGTGGCAGTGGAGTAAAGATGCAGGACGAGGCCTCTGACGCGTGATTTGGTCAGCACATCCAATTGGCCTTCCCTTCACACTAAAAGCCAAAATAAAATCAATTTTATTTTCCAGGTAAACCCATCCGAGCGATGTTCCTTGCTTTTACGATGATTCGGCTCGAAGTCAGGAGAGTGATCCGATTTGCTCGCAAAGAATTCACTCATTTCTCGAAATGAACGACATTGGACGAACACGATCGGCTATTAGTTTAAATTTAAATCTAAATCTGGGTCCAGTAAAAAATCTATGAATAGTTGAAGATCTATTAGGTAAATGCATAAGAAATGCGGATTTCAACGTTTTCATAAATTTCCAACGATAGAAACCTGATGTTATAAACTAGAATCGATGAATGTTATAAACTATTTGAAAGTCGTAAATCTCCTCTACAAAACGGCTACAAAACGGCTACAAACGGTAATCTCCTCTACAATCTCCTCTACAGTCTCCTCTACAATCTCCTCTACAATCTCCTCTACAATCTCCTCTACATTCCCTTGTCTCCTCTACAGTATCCTCTACAATCTCCTCCTACAATCTCCTCTACAATCTCCTCCTACAGTCTCCTCCTCACAGTCTCCTCTTACAGTCTCCTCTACAGTCTCCCTCTACAATCTCCTCTACAGTCTCCTCTACAGTCTCCTCACAGTCTCCCTCTACAATCTCCTCTACAATCTCTACAATCCTCTACCAATCTCCTCTACAATCTCCTCTACAATCTCCTCTACAATCTCCTCTACAAAATAGGCTAAAAACGGTTTCCCCCACTTTCACAAGAGTTCGGTTTTGATTAAACTTGTCCCTAAGGTCACTCGCATTTCGCCCTCGAAATTTGCTTCAATGCTTCGACCAATTCAAACACGTTTTACCCGATTTTGTAGAGAGGAGATTGTAGAGAAGACGGTAGAGAGATGAGAGGATTAGAGGAGATTGTAGAGGAGATTGCAGAGAAGATTGTAGAGGAGGATTGAAGAGAGATGTAGAGAGATTGTAGAGAAGAGTAGAGGAGAGTAGAGGAGATGTAGAGAGATTGTAGAGGAGATTGTGAATTATAATAACAGAGATTGAAGGAGATAGAAGAGGAGCCGTATAGAAGATCCGAAGAGGAGATTGTAGAGAAATTATAGATCCCGGGGTTTTTCAGGGTCGAATCGTTTCAGGGTGTGATTCGAGTTGCCCACAACTCGCCAATTTCCGTTTAGCTTTTAATTGTTTAGCTTAACGTTTAGCTTAACGGAAATTGGTGAGTTGTGGGCAAAGATTTAGCTTTAATTAGCTTTATTTATCTTTATTCATCTTTATTCATCTTTATTTATCTTTATTTATCTTTATTTATCTTTATTTATCTTTATTTATCTTTATTTATCTATTTTCTTATATAATTCGTTAGAATTTCTAATAATTTCTTAAGAAAATGAACGATTCTCTCGAGGAGAACATCTCAACATCGACTCCAGCTGCCACAATGAGCCCCGATCAAATGGCCATGGTGTTAGCTTTCTACAATGAAACTGTTGCTTTTGAGCAAATGGTTTGCTAATGTTTGCTAATGTTTTATTAGAAATTGAAAAATAGATTTTTCACAAGTGTAATCATATGAATAATACTTGAAAAATCATTCAAAACAACTCCTAAAATAGAGCTGAAACGTCAGACTGACCCATAACGATCGTGACGAAGTATTTGAAAGCAATAAGTGCTTGATGTACATTAATATTGGATAAAGTTTAGTTCTTTTAAAACTAGAGACTCTTAGCTGCAAATAGCCTCAATTGTGAAAATTGGCCGAGTATTCGTTTCTATTCGAGTGAAACTTGCCACTCAAAGAGTCGAGTCGTGGCCTTGTCTACCGAATTTCCCTATTTAAAGCCTTTTAAAGCCAACTACCCAACCGAAAACCAAAATGGTTTTGTAGAAATCTTCACTCCCTATCCAATGACATCAAAAGTAAAACAGATGATTAAAGAGATAAGATTCTGAGGAAAAATGTAAGTCAAAGGTCTACATTTCGTCAGATGCTCCTTCCATCCCTTTCTTGAAACTTCTTTCTTGAAAAATTACACAAAAAAGTGTCAAAAGACAACCTAATATATCTTATTAAAAAATTTTAATGTCAATGGATAGAGAATGAAGATTTCTACAAAAGATTTTGATTTTCGGTTGGGTAGTTGGATTTAAAAGGCTTTAAATAGGAAATTCGGTAGACGGGCCCCGACTCGACTGTTTGAGTGTCAAAAGTGTCCAAAGACAACCTAATATATCTTATTATCTTATTTTTAATGTCAATGGATAGAGAATGAAGATTTCTACAAAAAGATTTTGATTTTCGGTTGGGTAGTTGGATTTAAAAGGCTTTAAATAGGAAATTCGGTAGACGGGCCCCGACTCGACTGTTTGAGTGGCAAGTTTCACTCGAATAGAAGCGAATACTCGACCAATTTTCACAATTAAGGTATTATTTTGTAGCTAAGAGTCTCTAGTTTTAAAAGAACTAAAATTTATCCAATATTAATGTACATCAAGCACTTATTGCTTTCAAATACTTTGTCACGATCGTTATGGGCCATTCTGTAACTCAAAACCGGCTAAGAAAGACATTTTAAAGTTGTTTAATGTGATGTTTAATGTGAAATCTTATCTTTTCAGATTGGTATCATCATTCCATCGATCTTTGCCTTGATTATTCTTATCGGCGTTGTGGGTAATGTGCTGGTGGTTGTGGTGGCACTGCATCGACAAATGAGAAATAGCACGAATACGTTGATCATCGGTTTGTTGATTAAGCCGTTGCAAAATTGCAAAATTTCCTTTGCTTTTTACGATCCTTAATTTACTAGATTGCACAACTAAAGGATGAGGCTATAGAAAAATAAAGATCAACTATCAAAAGTGCCTATAAGCACTAAAGTCTTTTTTTTTCTTTTTTTCTGCGGCTATTGATGCCAAAGTCGGGTTCTTTGTCTCAAATTTGATCCGAATGTGATCAGAATTGATATTCGCTTTGATTTGATTTGAAAGTGTTTAAAATAAACAAAAACTTTATCAAAATAGGTTCAGTAATAGGAAATGATATTGAAGAGAGGAAAATGACAAAAGAAACGCCTTATAAAGTGGAGTAAATTGCCTTAGATTGCTTTAAATAGCTTTAAATTGCCTTAAGCTGCCTTAAATCGCCTTCAATCGCCTTAAATCGCTTTAAATTGCCTTAAATCGCTTTAAAATGCCTTAAATTGCCTTAAATCGCCTTTAACCGCTTTAAATCGCCTTAAATCGCTTTGAATCGCCTTAAACAGCCTTAAATAGCCTTAAATGCCTTAAATGGCTTTAAATTGCCTTAGATTGCCTTAAACAGCCTTAAATAGCCTTAAATCGCTTTAAATCGCCTTAAATTGCCTTAGATTGCCTTAAATCGCTTTAAATTGCCTTAGATTGCCTTAAATGGCTTTAAATTGCCTTAGATTGCCTTAAATCGCTTTAAATTGCCTTAGATTGCCTTAAACAGCCTTAAATAGCCTTAAATCGCTTTAAATCGCCTTAAATCTATTGCCTTAAATCGCCGTTAATCGCCTTTAATCGCCTTAAATCGCCTTCAACAGTAATCATCGACGAAATAATCCGACGAAAGTGAAAGTAAAAGTAAAAAAAGTACAGGCAAAAGACTCGCGATTTAGAAGAACAGAAAGTCAACTTTTCGCAAGACGTTTTCAAGTTGAGATTCGATTTGAAACAGTGCCAAGTTCGAGAAATTCGAGTTGAAACAGTGCCAAGTTAACGTATTTTATTGAAATCATTTCCAGGACTTGCCGTCTCGGATTTGATGTTTCTCCTGCTATGCATCCCATTCACGGCAATCGATTACGCGATGCCCGTTTGGGTGTTCCCAGAATGGACTTGCTCGATGATCAACTATTTTCAAGTAAATCAAAATGATCAAAAGGATCAAAAAGATCAAAATGATCAAAATGAGATAAATGAGATAAATCAATAGATTTAAAGAGAAAAGCTTTCAGCAAATAAGCCAATCAATCATTTTCAGTAATTTCAGTAATTTCAGCAATTTCAATAATTCCACTAATTCTTTTTTCAGCATATTTCCGCCTATTTCTCTGTGTGGACGCTCACATTGATGGCGTTGGATCGATTTTTGGCCGTTTGTTTTCCCGTTGATTCGATGACTCTTCGAAGCACCACCAACACTGTCATCATTATGTCCATTGTTTATGCAATCATTCTTGTTTCTCAGGTATGTAATAAGAAAGTGAAGAAATTGGCAAGAAAGGGTACCGTAAATACTGTAATAGTACCCCACCCCCCTCGTACAGTCGCGTAGTCGCAAAAGTTTTTTAGTATTTCATTTTTTTTTCAAAGCACCCGTACTTTCAAAAAATGCGTCTTTGGTATCAAAAAATAGCCCTGAATTTCAGCTATTTTTTGATATTTAAACGAGCATTGTAGCATAAACCAGTGTTGAGAAAAACTCGTTCAAAGTTAGACTACGCAACACTCCGCACCGTCATTATGAGGCTGGGCATTATGGCGTCATTATGGGGCTATTACAGTATTTACGGTAGATTTTTGGAGAGGGGATTGAACCCTCGAGATTTTTGGAGGGGGATTATTTCCTGGGCCATTGCTCTAACCACTCAGCTATCGGGTACCTTAACTTGCCAAGAGAAAGATGGAAAGACAAGGGGGAAGAAGAAAGGAAGGAAGAAAGAAGGAAAGAAGGAAGGAAGGAAGGAAGGAGGGAAGAAAGAACGAAGAAAGATGGAAAGAAAGCTGGAAGGAAGAAGGAAAGAAGATCGAAAGAAAGAAGGAAGGAAGAAGGAAAGAAGATCGAAGGAAAGAAGGAAGGAAGGAAGGAAGAAAGAAGGAAGAAAGAAAGAGAAAGCTTTCTAAATTAGCGGAGTCATTTTGGGAGATTTTCTTTGTGCTTCTTTGTGCACTCACCCTTTCTGACGTACTCGTTTTTTAATTTTGTGAACAAGTGCGCCAGCAGAGATGTGTTTCTATTTGCACAAAGTACACCAAAATCCATTCAAAGTACACAAAAGATCTTTAAGATTCCAATCGGCCTCATGCACGGGATTTTCCACTACGAGTTCATCATCGAGAATCGCTCGACATGTGCCATTGTGAGCATCGCCGACAATTCGGCTACGATAGCACAAGTAAACTTTCAGAATCATAAGATGAAATTCATGAAATTCAGGCAAGAGGGTATTTCTTTACATTCAATCTTTTTGGCTATGTTCTACCATTGGGAATCACTTGTGTGCTGTACTATTTTATGCTCAATCGACTCTGGCAAACGCCAAGGCCAGGCACTTGCAATAGCGTAAATTTTTATCGAATCTTACTAAATGGAAATTTTCGAGCTGCCTCTTGTAGAGGAGCCTCTGGTACAGGGAGTCTCTTGTACAGGAGACTCTTGTATAGGAGCCTCTTGTACAGGAGACTCTTGTACAGGAGACTCTTTTGGACAGAGACTCTTGTACAGGAGACTCTTGTACAGGAGACTCTTGTACAGGAGCCTCTTGTACAGGAGCCTCTTGTACAGGAGCCTCTTGTACAGGAGCCTCTTGTACAGGAGACTCTTGTACAGGAGCCTCTTGTACAGGAGACTCTTGTACAGGAGACTCTTGTACAGGAGCCTCTGTTACAGGAGCCTCTCGTACAGGAGCCTCTTGTACAGAAGCCTCTTGTACATGAGCCTTTTGATATTTTAGTTGAACAGCTCAATCAGAAGCCGACCGGAAACTGTGAAAGCAAAAAGAAAGTGACTCGTTTGGTGCTTTGTGTGGTGATTATTTGGGCGGTTTGCTGGTTGCCACTCAATGTCTGCTTCTTCTTTTCAGGTATGGCTTTAAAAGTGATAAAAGCTCAGGATAAAATAAAGCTCTAGTAAATGCTTTAATGCATAAACAAGTTAAATAAGGTAATAGATTAAATAGGCAATGAAAAGGCAGCTCAAGGCGATAACTAGGATGGGCATTTCCTATCTAAATCTTCTAAAAAAATCAGTTCTGGATATCTTTAAATAACTCAGTTTTTCTAAGCTTATTTTATAAGATTTATAAGCTTAGTTTATAGCTTTTCATATAGAATCAGATAAGAGTTGATGACAAGCACACATTGCTTAGCTCTTTATGCTTCTGTGGCTTAGGATTGTTGCAAATTTTTACCCAGATCACATCCGAATTGATTCATTTTCAATACAAACCATTTGATAAAGTGCTTCGATTCTAAAAACAAGAGAAATGCTTACTTACACATATGATTTAACGTCGACTCTCGCTTTAACTCTCGATCTCGATACAACGATTGTGAAATTCTAAAACACGTCCTTGCTTCCTGCGTAGCTGCCTAGCTAAAACCAAGCGTTGGCCGTTCAGGGCAGCTACGCCCAGCCAAAGCAATCGTTGGCCGCTCAGGGCAGCTACGCCCAGCCAAACGCAATCGTTGGCCGCTCAGGGCAGCTACGCCCAGCCAAAGCAATCGTTGGCCGTTCAGGACAGCTACACTCAGCCAAACGCAGTCGTTGGCCGTTCAGACAGCTACGCCCACCCAAACGCAGTCGTTCGCCGTTCAGGGCAGCTACACTCAACCAAACGCAATTGTTCGCCGTTCAGACAGCTACGCAAGAAGTTTCTGGCACTTTTAGAATCGTTAGAATCATTAGAATCGTTTCGAATCGTTAAAGCGAAATGTTTCGTCTCAAGTGAATCGTTAAATCGAGAGTCGACTATAATTATTGGGGCTGATAAGGAAATCTTTGCACAGCTTTAGCACTGGAAATTTCTTAAAAACGAATCCACCAATTCAAGAACACTTTATTCTCTTATTGACAAATCGACTGCAATCGACTTTAGCCACTTTCTTCCTTTTTTTCCGACTTGTTTACCCGTTCACATTCTGCGTTTTTCCCCATTTCCAGCATTTTCAAGAACTCCTAAGGCTTTCCCTTAGAATGGCTTTATTCTAAGGCAATTCTAAGGCTTTCCCTTAGAATTTAGAGAGAGAGAGAAAGAGATTTATTATTCAGCTCCATTTTTTTCAGATCCAGCTTATTCAGCTCACTTTTTGCACAAGAAAAACGATTCCTTATAGGGTAAACCTAAAATAAATGAGCAATACGTTCTAGACTTCGGAAAACAAAACAAAACTTAACCAAAACCAAAACTACCAAAACCATAACAAAACCAAAACCATAACAAAACCAAAACCAAAACAAACCAAAACCAAAACCAAAACCAAAACCAAAACAAACCAAAACTCGCCAATATCTCGCGACTGGGAGGAGCTAGCGAAAATCTGTTTGCAGATTTGAAATCAGCATCCAAAAATCTATCCCATAGGCTATTTTTTGTTTGAAATTTCGAGGTCGTGTTTTGGTCCTTTTTTCGGCCGCGAGATTTTGTGGAGTGAGAAAAAGTGAAAGGCAAATTTGCATTTTACATTAAAATTTGCATTTTACAATTTTAAATTTGCATTTTACAATTTTAAATTTACATGTTAATTTATATGCAAATTGAGTTTTGGTTTTGGTTTTGGTGTTTTGGTGTTTTGGTTTTGGTTTTGGTTTTGGTTTTGGTCTGTTTTGGTTTTGGTTTTGTTTGCCGAAGTCTAATATGTTCTATAATCCAAAAAATGGCTATTTCTTCACTCTTTTACTCTGAATCCGTCTCAATCTGCAGTAATCTGTGATCTGAATGTTTCCTTTCAATCTAGGCATGGCCTACCCGGACACTCTCGTCTTGCGAGGCGGCAAAGCGATGGTGATCGTTCAAATCGCCAGCCAAGTCCTCGCCTACACGAATTCTTGTCTCAATCCGATTCTCTACGCGTTGATGTCAGATAATTTCAGAAAAGGTACACTACAAAGCGAATTGTAAATACAAATAAGTACAATTTTTGCAGGCTTCGTCCGAGTGCTGAGCATTTTGTGCAAACGCGTTTCGTGTGGTCTTTTCTGTGCAAGTGAGCCGAAATCGATGAGCAGAATGGAGGTGAGGGGGAAGAGCAAAAAAGAAAAGCAAAAGAAAAGCATTTCAAAGCATCATTTTTCTTTTTAGACAACTCGTAGAAAAGACTATCAGGTTATATCAGAGTTTGGTGATTTTTTTTTTTCAAATTCTTTGATTTGAAGTGTGTGTAATTTTGTTTTGAGTGTTGAGGATGATGGCGAATTTAGATTACAAATTTCCACGGCTCACACACAACCGGATCCCAACTTCCCACACAAACATCAATTAGGAGAGGGACAGCCGGCTCACAGGTGATTTCAAAGAAATACGATCGTTTAAAGTTGTTTAACAATACTCAACAACAATAGAAAAAAAAACAATAACAGCAATAACAATTTCTTCAAATTTGCAACTTCATGCCCAAAAACATTTAAAACAAAAAAATTCGGAACCGGTCCGGAATCGAACCCGGCACCCTCTCCGGGGCGACCGTTTTGGAAACGGGATGCTAACCCTATATCGTTCGACGCAGAATTTCACGCTGATCATGATGCTGTTTTTCTTTTTCGCTAAGAAGCACACTGTCAAAAGTTATACGCGTTTAAAGTTTTGCAAGGAGTTTGAAAAATGTAAAATGAAAAATGAAGAATGAAACCGAGAAATGACAACACCCTGTCTTCCGTGACGCAAGTAGTGGCAGCGGTGGCCGAGTGGCAGTGAGTAAAGATGCAGGACGAGGCCTCTGACGCGTGATTTGGTCAGCACATCCAATTGGCCTTCCCTTCACACTAAAAGCTAAAATAAAATCAATTTTATTTTCCAGGTAAACCCATCCGAGCGATGTTCCTTGCTTTACGATGATTCGGCTCGAAGTCAGGAGAGTGATCCGATTTGCTCGCAAAGAATTCACTCATTTCTCGAAATGAACGACATTGGACGAACACGATCGGCTATTAGTTTAAATTTAAATCTAAATCTGGGTCCAGTAAAAAATCTATGAATAGTTGAAGATCTATTAGGTAAATGCATAAGAAATGCGGATTTCAACGTTTTCATAAATTTCCAACGATAGAAACCTGATGTTATAAACTAGAATCGATGAATGTTATAAACTATTTGAAAGTCGTAAATCTCCTCTACAAAACGGCTACAAAACGGCTACAAACGGTAAATCTCCTCTACAATCTCCTCTACAGTCTCCTCTACAATCTCCTCTACAATCTCCTCTACAATCTCCTCTACAATCTCCTCTACAGTATCCTCTACAATCTCCTCTACAACCTTCTCTACAATCTCCTCTACAGTCTCCTCTACAGTCTCCTCTACAATCTCCTCTACAATCTCCTCTACAGTCTCCTCTACAGTCTCCTCTACAGTCTCCTCTACAATCTCCTCTACAATCTCCTCTACAGTCTCCTCTACAGTCTCCTCTACAGTCTCCTCTACAATCTCCTCTACAATCTCCTCTACAGTCTCCTCTACAGTCTCCTCTACAGTCTCCTCTACAATCTCCTCTACAATCTCCTCTACAATCTCCTCTACAATCTCCTCTACAATCTCCTCTACAATCTCCTCTACAATCTCCTCTACAATCTCCTCTACAATCTCCTCTACAAAATAGGCTAAAACGTTTTCCCCCACTTTCACAAGAGTTCGGTTTTGATTAAACTTGTCCCTAAGGTCACTCGCATTTCGCCCTCGAAATTTGCTTCAATGCTTCGACCAATTCAAACACGTTTTACCCGATTTTGTAGAGGAGATTTACAGCTTTCAAATAGTTTATAACATTCATCGATTCTAGTTTATAACATCAGGTTTCTATCGTTGGAAATTTATGGAAATGCTGAAATCCGCTTTTCTTATGCATGTACCTAATATTTTGAAGCAATCTCTTGGCTCGCATTGAGTAATCAAATTGAGGGTCATTTTTGCAATGGTTGACATTGTTATGCATTTTTTCTTTGGCTTATACCAAAAATAACGATACTTTTTCGTTATTCAATCTTAAGATTGAGAAAATTTAAAAATTTTGATCTCATTTCTATCATTTTCAGCCTCTATTTCGATTTGTTTTTGACAAATTTGCGTTTGTTTTATGTCTTTAGTTGGTACTTGTCGGTTAGACATCCACAAAGACTCATCTCGGTTAAGCATCCCCATCCGAGTCTTCTCGGTTATCGATTTTCGTTCGACTGGTCGACTGATCAATCGACTGATCAGACTGATCGATCGACTGATCAACTGATCCACTGATCGATCGACTGATCAGACTGATCGATCGACTGATCAGACTGATCGATCGACTGATCCACTGATCGATCGACTAATCACTTCAGGCGAGCACTCTACTTCACTGAACATAATCACCCCTCACAAGTTGTGACAATCACAGTTGTCAACTCCTTATTTAACCGAGTTGAGTCTCTGTGGATGTACCACCGACAAGTACCCTTTAATTCAACTATCTTTCGTTAAACCTTTAAATTTTGGTTACCTTTTGGTTTACCTTTTGGTTTGCCTTTTGGTTTACCTTTTGGTTACCTTTTGGTTTACCTTTTGGTTTACCTTTTGGTTACCTTTTGGTTACCTTTTGGTTACCTTTTGGTTACCTTTTGGTTTACCTTTTGGTTAAACCTTTAAATTTGTCGACTTTCAATGATAAAGTATTCAAAAATGCACAAAAATTCACATTTATCGTCAGTTTTTTTTAGTAAATCGTCCCCTTTTAGTAAATCGTCCTTTAGTGTTTCTTTTTTTTTCATTTTCTTATGGGTCAAAGATTTCAAATCGAGTCCCCTCCATTTTCTTTTTGTTTTGTCTTTTTTGAAGGCCAATGGCTGTCTTTTCCCTCTCTTTTTTCTTTGACATTTCGAATCTCAACCAAAATCTTGCTATATTTTCATTTTTTGTATTTGTTTTGTTTTGTTTTCAGATAAATTTTTTGATTTTTCAATTTTTCAATTTTTGATTATTTATCAGGCTTCGTAATCGGGTGAAAGAAGAAAAGAAAAATAATGAAAAACAAGTGTGAAAGAAAGCAGAGATGAAAAGACGTGCCATTTCAGCTTTTAGAAAAAATTTTTAATAACTTGAAAAACAGAAATAATGAAAATGAAAGTTTGTCTTTAAGAAATATGAATTTGAAATTTCTCTGGCAACTACTATCAAAAAATGAAAGAAATCGGCCTGAAAATGAGGGAGTTGAGAGATGATGAATGAAATGTATGAAATGGCATGACATCATTGACAGGACATCATTTCATATGCGTCAGCCTAATACAATAAGATAGATTGAATCAGTTATACAATCTGTATAATACAATAAGATATATTGAAAGGGGAAAGAAAGCTTTCATCGAGCTTTTAAGAGCGGCAGTCCTAGAATCCTTTGTATAAACGCCCGAAGGATACCCCCATCCTCTTAATGGGATACCCCATTAAAATGATACCCATTAAAAGGATACCCCATTAAAAGGATACCCCATTAAAAGCATGCCCCATTAAAAGCGCCCATTAAAACCATCCCCATTAAACCCCCCCATTAAAAGCGTGCCCCATAAACCCTGCCCCATTAAAAGCATGCCCCATTAAAAGCATGCCCCATTAAAAGCATGCCCCATTAAAAGGATACCCCATTAAAAGAATGCCCCATTAAAAGAATGCCCATTAAAAGGATACCCCATTAAAAGGATACCCCATTAAAAGGATACCCCATTAAAAGGATACCCCATTAAAAGGATACCCCATTAAAAGCATGCCCCATTAAACCCCATTAACCATAAAAAAAAACCCATTAAAAAATTAACCCATAAAAAATAAACATAAAAATAAAACCTCCCCTCAAAAAAAACCCCCAATAAAGGATACCCCATTAAAAGGATACCCCATTAAAAGGATACCCCATTAAAAGGATACCCCATTAAAAGGATACCCCATTAAAAGGATACCCCATTAAAAGCATGCCCCATTAAAAGGATACCCCATTAAAAGCATGCCCCATTAAAAGGATACCCCATTAAAAGAATGCCCCATTAAAAGAATGCCCATTAAAAGGATACCCCATTAAAAGGATACCCCATTAAAAGGATACCCCATTAAAAGGATACCCCATTAAAAGGATACCCCATTAAAAGGATACCCCAAAGAAAGCTCGATGAAAGCACTGACTGCTCAATGATTGTTAACCTCGAATTGCCATTTAAACCTTTTTTTACATCCCTAAACCCATTTTGATTCAATTGTAAGTCGAAATTTTAGGGTTTAATTGAATTTTTGCTTTTCGCGCTTTAAGTTCGAGAAACTTTACCCATTTCTTTTCTTCAGCTTTCAACATAAACAAAATCCATAACCATCATTACATTCAGGGTTACACCATCGCTATGACTCGAGCGCCTCATCCAAACCTTGTGACTTTTTTTTGCTAGACAGGTTACAAAGTGCGGCAATTGTTCCAATCTCTAACGAATAAATGACACTTTTCAATCTAATAATGGATGAATGCTCAAATGTCTTTCCAGTTTCCAGTTTCCATTTCCCAAGTTGTTTCCCCCGCCACTTTCGTTGGTCACTCGATCCATCGAGGAGTCGAACGAACAGTTGGCTTGTTGTTGAAAAAGCCCTAGTTGACGCTAAACTTTCACCCAATCAAGCCTCAGCAATGTTTTCCCCAATCCATTGACCTGTTATCTACTATCACTCGCCTCTTTTCCACTCACCCCAAGGCTCTGTTGTTTATTTTCTGCCCGCTTTTTCGAAGAAATCTCTCTTTCTTTGCTATTCTCTTCTTTTCTTTTCTTTTCTTTTCTTTTCTTTTCTTTCTTCTTTCAACATCTCTTTTGAAATCTTTTCTCAATGGTGCCATCTTTGACCAAAAATCTTTTCCTTTTGAGTGATTCATTTTTTTGGGAATGGGAAAACAAACCAGCCCCCAATATTTTGGTGATTCGGATTCTTTAGGATCCATTTCAAAGAAAATAATATAATACCGCCTTTTCATGACAATTTTCCTTTCAAAAAACAGTTGATTTTTCAGTTTTTTAGACTTTCACTTACAGAAAAAACTTTCACTTACAGAAAATGCGTTCACTTTGGGCTTTGTTAGCGCTGGTGGCGTTGGTAACAGCCTATTCGAGTGATCGTCATCATCAACGACATCATTTACATCGTACAGCTGTTGGGCCGACAAGGTTAACTATCTACTACAGTTGAGCCTCGTTAGTGAACACCTCGATAGTGATGTGTTCACTAATGAACACCTCATTAGTGAACACCTCGATAGTAACCGGGCTTTTTAGAATCCCTTTGAGTTGATTTAGTACTAATCAAACCTCGATAGTGAACGGTTTTTTAGGATCCCTTCCATAGGTCACTAACGAGGTTCGACCGTAGATATAAAAGAGCTGTGTCTGTCTGTCTGTCTGTCTGTCTGCCTGCCTGTCTGTCTGTCTGTGCACACTACTCCTCCACACCCAGTGGGCCGTTTCAAATGACTTATGGTTAGTTTAGCTTAGAATTCCATGCAGTTGTGCAACATATTTTTAAATTTTTAAAAAACCAAAACTGAGCCGACGCGGGCGGGAGTCGAACCCAGGTCATGTGCGCTAGAGACAAGTGCGCTAGAGACAAGTGCGCTAGAGACAAGTGCGCTAGAGACAAGTGCGCTAGAGACAAGTGCGCTAGAGACAAGTGCGCTAGAGACAAGTGCGCTAGAGACAAGTGCGCTAGAGACAAGTGCGCTAGAGACAAGTGCGCTAGAGACAAGTGCGCTAGAGACAAGTGCGCTAGAGACAAGTGCGCTAGAGACAAGTGCGCCATTCATCCTGCGCCATCCATCCTGCGCCATTCATCCCGCGCCATAGATCCTATGCCATCCAAAGAGCATGGCCAAGTGGTTGACGCAAGCGTCTCTCAAGCGAACGGAAGAGAGGTCGCGGATTCGACTCCTCTTACCGCCAATTCTTTTGCTTTTTGCTTCAAAATTTTTGCCATTAAACCGCTATAAGTTCACACTTGTAAGATTTAATACTTTAGCTGCTTTGGGGAAAGATTTGAATGCTAGACTCTCATTAAATGTAAAAAACTTTAGACATCAAAGACTTTTACTTATCACAGCTTATCCAGCATGGTTAAAAACAATGGTTAAAACAATGTTTTAAACCATTCCTTTCCAGAATCCCCTTGAGACGTTTGACCACCATTCGTGACACTCTTTTCGAAGCCGGATCCTATTCCGACTATTCGAGACTCCGTGAGAAGGCGATGAAGCAAAAGCTGAAGGCGTACCTCAATCGTCAAGCAAAGAGCAACGTTTTCAGCCCTGATGAGCACTTGAGAAACTATATGGATGTGAGAAAAGACGTGTGAGACTCAAGAAAGAAGCTTTCAGGCTCAATACTATGGAGAGATCTCGATCGGCACTCCCGCTCAGAACTTCTCGGTGATCTTCGACACTGGATCGTCGAACTTGTGGGTGCCATCGAAGAAATGCTCGTGGACTGATATCGCTTGCTGTGAGTTTACAAGATCAAACAAGACAAATCGAAATACAAAACGCAGAAACTAGTAAACTTACAGATTGCTAGGCAAAGACTGGTGCTGGATAACTAGGCAGACAACTAAACCTGTATAAACTGACAACTGAATCTAGCATACTGATCTCATTTGAGCTGATCTCACTTGAGCTGATCTCACTTGAGCTGATCTCACTTGAGCTGACCTCATTTGAGCTGACCTCATTTGAGTCAATAACGCATATTGTAGCTTCCAACATAAAGAAAATCCATAACCATCATTACATTCAGGGTTGCACCATCGCTATGACTCGGGCGCCTCATCCTCCTATAAGGAGGACGGCAGAAAGATGGAGCTTCAATATGGAACGGGAAGCATGAAAGGATTCATCAGCTTGGACACCGTTTGCGTGAGTTTTCGTTTACTGCTTTTGTTTTGTTTTGGCTGACGACTGTAACCTTTCTTTCTTTCTTTCTTTCTTTTTTCCTTGTCTTTTCTATTTCTTCATGGGGAAAGAGGGTGCCAATACCTCAGTGGTAGAATAAGTAGAAGTAGAAGTAGAAGTAGAAGTAGAAGTAGAAGTAGAAGTAGAAGTAGAAGTAGAAGTAGAAGTAGAAGTAGAAGTAAATCTGCTCGGTAAGTAGAAGGTCGTTCAATTAGTAGATTCCCCTTAGGTTCCATTCTAAAACCCCAAAAGCAAATTTGGACACCAGATTGGGATAGCTCATTTTTTTCCAATTGAATAGTACCTAAATCATTGTTGGACTCGAGTGTAAGTTTAAGAGGTTCCGTTGTGAGTCGCTAAGACCCAAATGAGCATATTTTCCTAACAAACTTCATAACAAGTCCTAACAAAACTTTAGACGCTTATAACTCCTGTCAGATTGTCATTTAGCAAAAACAGAAAACATATTCGGAATCAGCATAAAATTCTGCGTTGAATGGTATAGGTTAAATAGTATTTGGCCGTCTCAGTCAGTTGATCTTCCCTTGTAAGAAGACTTTTAATTTGAAATTCTTCTTTTCAGGTGTCAGAGCTTTGTGCCACCGAGCAGCCATTCGCCGAAGCAACCTCGGAGCCGGGAATCACCTTTGTGGCCGCGAAATTCGACGGAATTTTGGGAATGGGATACCCAGAAATCGCTGTTCTTGGCATGTATCAGTTTTCTTGTTAAAACTCTTTCTCTTCCAGGAGTCTCTCCCGTTTTCAACACCTTGATCGATCAGAAGAAAGTCGCGCAACCTGTCTTTGCTTTCTGGTTGAACAGGTAGCTTTTGTTTTCTTGGATTTACCTTGTTTACCTTGTTTTTTATCTAAAATTAAATATTTCAGAGATCCCCAGGCTGAAGACGGTGGTGAGATCACTTTGGGTGGCTTGGATCCAGCTCACTACGTTGAGCCAATCAACTATGTGCCGGTGACCCGGAAAGGATATTGGCAATTCAAGATGGACAAGGTAGAGTTTGTGACTGAGCTAGAGCTGAGACTGAGCTAGAGCTGAGACTGAGCTAGAGCTGAGACTGAGCTAGAGCTGAGACTGAGCTAGAGCTGAGACTGAGCTAGAGCTGAGACTGAGCTAGAGCTGAGGACTGAGAAGCCTGAGACCGGACAGTGGGGAGGCGGCTAGAGTTGAGACTAAGCTAGAGCTGGGACTGAGGCTAGGGCTGAGGCTGAGCTAGGAGCTGGAACTGAGCTAGAGCTGAGACTGTGCTGAGACTGGGCAAGGGCCTAGAACGGGCAAGAGCTGGGACTGAGCTGGGACAGCAAAGGACTGAGCTAGAGCTGAGACTAATAGCAAATCGAGTATCATATTTGAATCATTGTTCAGGTGCTCGGCCGTGACACCATTGCTTGTGCCAATGGATGCCAAGCCATCGCCGACACTGGAACCTCGCTCATCGCTGGACCGAAAGCACAGGCAAGTTTGAAAAAGTCGCAAAGTTTTAATCAATCTAATTCTAATCAAGTTCTAATCAAGTTCTAATCAAAGTCAAGACACTCAACTACTGTAAAAGCTTTTAATAGAAGCCCTATAGGAGCGAGCGTCGTGTCGTCAAAGTTTACACTCAAAGAACCGCTTATATCTCGACACCCAGACATTTGTTTTGGCGCGCTTAGGTGTCAAATTAAAATAGAGATATAGGGGGGTTTTTTGAGCTATTGGATGTATTTTTAGCTTTAACCAACGCTTAGAAAAAGGTGACTGAAAATTGGCAAAAAAATCGGCTTTTTTCACTCATTTTCAATAATTTTTTTTCTAAGCGCTGGTTAAAGCTAAAAATATGTGTTATATCTCAAAAAATCCGTCTATCTTTCTACTTTAATTTGATACCTAAGCGCGCCAAAACAAATGTCTAGGCGCCGAGATATGAGCGGTGCTTTGGACGTAAACTTAGACGATACGACGCTCGCTCCTAAAGGGCTTCTATTGGAGCTTTTGCGGTAATTTAGTACGTAATACTACTGTGTATTAGCTCGGAATTAGCTCAAGCTTTGCATACAAAACCCAGTCAAATTCCAGGTTGAAGCCATCCAGAATTACATCGGAGCCGAGCCATTGATGAAGGGAGAAGTGAGTCAAATTTAGAGACGCTTTTACTGTGGCTGGCGATGGCTAAAAGCAAATGATTGTGCTCAAATTCTTAGATTAAATCGATTATCGGGCTCAAAATCTGATTTAATCTAGGAACATGATCCCCTTGCGATTTTAGTACATGATCCCTTGCGACAAGGTGGCAACCCTTCCCGACGTGAGCTTCCAAATCGGCGGCCAAGTCTACACACTCAAGGGATACGACTATGTGCTCAATGTAAGGAGACAGATTTACCTTGAATTTTCTAGAGTATTTGAATGCTTTCTAGACAATAATATTTCAGGTGACTGCCGCCGGGAAGACGATTTGCCTCTCTGGATTTATGGGTATCGATTTGCCACCGAAAGTCGGTGATCTTTGGATTTTGGGCGATGTTTTCATCGGAAGGTAAGGAATTGGGATATGGTATTGATTAGAGTGTGTTCCTCGCGAGTAAGTTACTCGAGTCAGTTAGTTACTCGAGTCAAATTTGCATGAGTAATCTTTACTCGATGAATTACTCGTTTTTTACTCGTTTTTGGTCGACTAACTACGGGTCTATCCCACAACAGCGCCGACACTAAAATAGCGCCGATCAAAACAGCGCCGACCAAAACAGCGCCACCCAAAATAGCGCCGTACCCCAAAACAGCGCCAATGAAAAACGCCCAAAACAGCGCCGATGCAAAACAAAGTTTTTTTTTCTTTTACAATGTACACTCATTTTTTTTATTAGCAGCTTTTAATTTTGATAATTTATTTAAAAATAACATGACCAACAACAATAAACGATAACAATTAAACGATGCATAAAAAACATTAAAATATTAGGTTGATGCATAAGTGTTTTTGTTCCTTTTCGTCTGCCGTTTCAAGCCAACAAATGCACGAATTAAACTACGGTTGATTTCATTAGAAAAAGCAATTATTTTTCTGCAAAATAACATTAAGTTTCAGAGATCTCCAGGATCTCCAGAGTCAGGTCTAGAGTCAGAAAAGACAGAGATAGCTGGTTTAATGGCTAAATTAATGGCTATTTTCAAGCCAAACCTTTTCAGAACCAGAAGCATTCATGATTTCAACATTTTCATACTTTTAGATTGCCCTGGTCTTGTTTCTAAAATTCTAAAATTCCCCGTTCGATTTTCTATCGAATAAGCTGGGTCGAAATCCCACGGTGACCAAGTACTTTTCCCTAGTAAAGACCAATCGAAGTTTACAGTACTTTACGGTACTCTAGAGTACTTTACAGTACTTTACAGTACTCTATAGTACTTTACAGTACTCTAAAGTACTTTACAGTACTTTACAATGCTCTAAAGTACTTTACAGTACTTCTCATTGTCCCTATACTTGTAAATAAATAAAATCAAATTATTAGGTTGATGCATAAGTGCTTTTGTTCCTTTTCGTCTGCCGTTTCAAGCCAACAAATGCACGAATTAAACTACGGTTGATTTCATTAGAAAAAGCAATTATTTTTCTGCAAAATAACATTAAAACGGGTTTAAAAATATTTAATGCCTGGATTTTCTTGAGAGTATGAAGTCGGGTAGTCAAAAAGGGCTAACTCGATGATGCGGTTTAGACACCTTAGCTAAAGAAAACCTATCTTCGTGTCAATAGATAAAAGATAGAGAAAAAAAACGTTTGATATTTCGCCAAAATTTCAGAGAAATTCATTCAGCCAATTTTTCCGTAGAGTTTTTTATAGATTTTTACGAAAAAGGCGTTTTTCACTCTCGAATTTGCTTGAAAGTGAACCGAAATTCATTTAAAAAGATGCTAATTCAACAAAAAAACACTTTTTTTATAGAGCAAACTATAGATTAATTCGTGAATTTGTTACTTTTTAACAGAAGTACGAAAAAAACGAAAAGACTTATGCATCAACCTATTAGCATGAAATTAATAGTCCAAGAGACTCTGAAACATCATAACACTAGCGATGATGAACATAAACGGCTAGAGCTTTCAAGTGATCCGTAGTAGAAATAAAAAGTTAGTGAAAATGTTAAAAAACAGGCCGTAAAAGGAAAAAAATTGTTATTTTTGGTTAAAATCAATTTTATAAACGCTATCGCAGGTTTCTATGCGTAAAGCTTTTAAAAAATCGGATTCTCCGCCTTTTTTTTTACCCTAAAAACACAAAAAGTGGACAGAAAAAGTTAAAAACAGCAAAGAAAAAGCAAAAGCAAAAATCTATAAAATAATTTTTTTTGCTCGTCGCTGTTTTGGGCGTTTTTGCATTGGCGCTGTTTTGGGTGGCGCTGTTTTGGGTGGCGCTGTTTTGGGTGGCGCTGTTTTGGCGGCGCTGTTTTGGGTGGCGCTGTTTTGGGTGGCGCTGTTTTGGCGGCGCTGTTTTGGGTGGCGCTGTTTTGGCGGCGCTGTTTTGGGATAGACCCCTAACTACGAGTGATCCTCTTTACACGTCGCGTAAATTGAATATCGTTACATGTGACGGGAATTTGTGCCACCAAATCAGTTAAACGGCTGAATATGTTTAAAGAGAGTCGTATATAAATGGGCGCTCGTGATTTTTTGCGCCAATTTTGCGCCAATTCTTTGCAATAATTTTTGCGCTAAAAGTACGGCAATTTTTCCTACCGTAAATACTGTAATAGTTAATGCTTTTACATTGTTTCTTTATTTAAAAGTGGCACCACAAAGAGAAACCAATGTAGGTTCAAATTTGCCTCATCTAACACTGCCAGACACTTCCTTTCAAGCTATTTGGCGGAGTTTATGGTACGACAAGAAGTCGGAGACAACCATACCTTAAATATTGTAATAGTACCCCACCCACCTCGTACAGTCGCGTAGGCGCAAAAGTTTTTTAGTATTTCATTTTTTTCAAAGCGCTCGTACTATCAAAAAATGCGTCTTTGGTATCAAAAAATAGCTGAAATTCAGGGCTATTTTTTGATACCTAAGCGCGTATTGTAGCATAAACCAGTGTCGAGAAAAACTCGTTCAAAGCTAGAGGTACGCAACACTCCGCACCGTCATTATGGAGGTGGGATACTATTACAGTATTTACGGTAGATAGTTCCTTTGTCAGAATAATCGGATACCCTTGTAAAGTTTCGATTGAAACTTTTGATTGAAAGTTTTACTAGAAAAAGATTTTTAAGAAGACGCTTGACTGTTCAGTGCGTTTTAAAAAACGCATTACTCGTGAGGAACATACTCTAGCATCGAAATTGATTAGTTCTTTATATGGATTAGACTTTGAAATGAAATGAAAACAAAGTAAACTAGACAAGTAAACTAGACAAGTAAGCTAGACAAGTAAACTAAACAAGTAAACTAAACAAGTAAACTAAACAAGTAAACTAGACAAGTAAACTAGACAAGTAAACTAGACAAGTAAACTAGACAAGTAAGCTAGACAAGTAAACTAAACAAGTAAACTAGACAAGTAAACTAGACAAGTAAGCTAGACAAGTAAACTAGACAAGTAAGCTAGACAAGTAAACTAAACAAGTAAACTAAACAAGTAAACTAAACAAGTAAACTAGACAAGTAAAATTGATTATCTCAAAGATAACAAAGACAACAATTCAACGCGACTTCTCAATCTGATTTTTGCTACAAATTTGACTCAAACTCAGCCCAAATTCAATCAAATTCAATAATCAGTCAAAGGAAACAAGTTTAATGAGGAATTGAATCAAAATTGAATCAAAAACGAATATACGATTATCAAAAATTCTATTTTCATTTCATTCTATTTTCATTTTCAGATACTATTCTGTTTTCGACTTTGGACAGGATCGTGTCGGCTTCGCTCAAGCTAAACAACCCAACGGAAAGGCGGTAAGCATGAGAATAAACAAAAAAAAATCACAATAAAATCATAATCAATGCAAGAAATACAGTCATGGCGGCTCCTGGGTGGGAACTTTCAAACGCAAATTTAGAAACCTTTCCGAGAGGCTATAGAAAAGTTGTCACAAGTATTTTTGAGCATTTTTACTCTACTTTTAGCTATGACCAATGCTAAAGGCTGACCTACAAAATATTGAATTTTTCGCCTCTATGTCTGTGCCGCCAAGACTTTTGTCCATTGTTTTTTGTCCATTGTTTTGTCGTTTACGCTTATTTTTGTTGTTTAAATTAAACTTTCGAGTTCAATGCTTGGTCATAGCTAAAAGTAGAGTAAAAATGCTCAAAAATACTTGTGAAAACTTTTTTATAGCCTCTCGGAAAGGTTTCTAAATTTGCGTTTGAAAGTTGCCACCCAGGAGCCGCCAAGACTTTTGTCCATGACTGTAGTATTCAATCTATTTGTATGTAATTCATCTTTCTGAAATCTAGGTCTACCCACCCGTTCGCCCGGCTTTGCGCCGCTTTGTTGATGACTCGGACGAGAGCGATGAGTTTTAATGAAAAGCCAAAGAAATTCCTTTTTTTTTGCTAATCTAACATTTGTAATTTAAATGTATCCAATTTTGTATTTGAATCAATAAATTATTGAGTGCGCTTAATCAGAGAAAATGCAAACAAAAAAACCAAATGAGTGACACAAAAAGTTAGAGAATTCAGGGGGTAAGCTAGTTTCAGCAATTTTTTGTTGCGCAACTCGCCATAACTTTTTTCTAAGTTGGCCAATTGGTGCTTTGGTGACTACTTTGGCTTGCCTGCGTGCCTGCCTGTGTGCAAAAATTAATGCGCTCTGGCTCAATAGCGATGAATGTACACTGCCACCGCCAACTACTATAGCACCCTGCTCAAAACACTAGATTCGACTAAGCAAGCCAAAAGTGACCCCTCTCAACCACCAAAGTACCGGTCAATCTTTATGATTTTGGTTTCATTTTGTTGCACTTATTGAGATCTACAAAATGGCACAAAGAGCATAAAGATTGGCTCACTGAGAAGAAAGTTATTGATCAAAAGAGTCGGAAGGAAGATGGTCATGAACTAGATGAGTCATAACTTTCTTCTAAGTGGACCAATCTTTCTGCTCTTTGTGCCATTTTGTTGCACTTATTGAGATCTACAAAATGAAACCAAAATCATAAAGATTGGCCGACTTAGAAACAAAGTTATGGCAAGTAGCGCAAATGACCCAGTAGCGCAAAAAAAATTGCGGAAATTAGCCTACCCCGAATTCAGCGTTTGCGCGTGCCTATTGCTTTTTTGCCAAACGATCATAGCAAACAATTTTTGCAAAACCATTGTTACCTAATTCTCGTCGTTTCCCGAGTTTTCACTAATAAGATCAACCAAAGCTGAGGATTTGTGGGAAAATGATTAAGAATTTAGTGAAATTTAGTGAAAACAATTTTAGTACTCCGTTGCGCCAAAGTAGACTTTATTCCTGAGGTCAGCTTTCAAATTGGTGAAAGATTCTACACATTAAAAAGAAAGTTCTGATCCGATGGAAGATCTGTTCTTGTTTGATAGAAGACCAAGTTTTTTTCATCGCAAAATTGGTATTTTAAAATGTGCAACTCATCTTTTACTATTCGAAAGAAAATATTAAATATGAAACTTCCAATCTTTTCAAAGATTTCATTATTTTCAAACTTTAAATGCAAAATAACTGTTTATCGGTTTTCTGGGGTCTCCCTACGTCCGAAATGAAGGACGTCTGGCTCATCGACGACACTTTTATTGAAAGGTAAACAATACATTTACAGTTTGCACTGAAAATCATCCAATTGTGAGACTAATGCCTTGAATACTTAAGTGCCCGGTAGTCGATTTCGGTCAGAATCATATTGGTTTCGCCCAGCCCAAATATACAAACGGACAACCAGTGAGTTCATTTATAAAAAGCAGCACGAACAATAATATCGTGTACCAGATTTTCTTGACTCCATTACCCGCTTCTAACAGAAATAAAAAGACACGGATCTGATACCAACAGTCGAGTTGATACTTCAAAAATTATCAAAAACCACAAATTTCAGATCGATCCACCGTTTCGAGTGAGAAGGCATAGAAATAATAAAATTTATTCGCTCCTAAAATAATCAAGAGTCCAATCTATCCGCATGTTTTTCTCAATAAACTGTTCCTACAAAAAGCTTAACAACATATCGTTAAAGTTAGCAATACTCATAAAAGTCAAAATCAACACTTTACAATGGAGAAAAATGGTTTACGTTTTACTGCGTTTTCATCAAATTTCGCCGCGTTTTCTCTTGTTGATTGGATGTCGAGGATCCGATAGATCATACCAGTCACTCTTCGCCTCGTCACGGAGATTGGCATCCTAAAGGAAAACAATTTAAATTTAAAGAACAAATTGAAAAGTAAACTAATTTAAAGATGTCAATGAATAAACCGAAAATAACTCAACGCTTTGTATCAACTATACATCATGCATTTGCATGACCAGAATAAAAAATAATGAGCCAACCTTAGCGCGCGTAACATTTGGATCGATCTCGTCCTGAGCAACAAAAGTGTGTCGCATCCTGAAAAAGATAACATCATTGATAAATTTAAAACTGGTACTTATCACACCATTTTAGAGTAAATTATTTACTAATCGAATTTAGATTAACAAAATCATTCAAAAGCAATTAAGTAAAATATATCACAAATTCACCAATCAGTGCCAACAATGTCTTCCGCATCCAAATCATAGCCAAACGCTTTCGCCGCATCTTTGTTATTTTCATCTTGTCCATCGGCATCATTTTGTTTGAGAGCTTCTCGTCGTTTTCTTTCTTCCTCTTCTTTCTCTCCAGAGAGATCAATCCGTTCTGGTAGGTTTGTAGAAATCGAAAATCCAGAACCATTATCCTGGAGCACAATAATGGCAAACCGTTTTGTCGAAGAGAATGTCTGCCTGTTCGGCTTGATCCAACTTTGCCCGGAAACGCTCAAGAAGTTGCATCGTCTAAAAGAAAAGGCTCATTGCATGATAGTTACGTCTTTTTAAACTAAGAAATTTTGAATTTTTGAAAAGATAAAATTTATGGTACTATAAGGTTATACTCCCATAGACGGAAAAGCCAAGTGACTCAATACGATTGTACCCCCACCCCCAAGCGCATCAATACCAGAAAGCCGGCTTCACACATAAAACTGTCAACCATAGGTACAACTATGTCTCGCCAGACGATCCCAAACATTCACACACAATCAATTGAACGCCCGTGGGGAGCAGCAAAATGGAGAAATAAAAAGCACCGCAGAACTGTTCGACATCATTTGAAAAGCTTCCTAACGAAGTTTGTGATTCGTTTAGAAGTTGGACAAAATGATCACTTCGAGTGGATCCTCCATTGCTTCCACTTATACTTCAATGATTACCCTTTGATCATGTATTTTGTTGTCCATCGTGACTGAGTGTTAATGCAAACTTTTTTAAAATATAAATTTTGGGGTATAACCGTATTAATGGGGATAATTTGTTGGGATCGGGGTATAACCGTATAGTACCAAATTTATTGTACCTGATTTTCTCGTCCCTCGTCACGTTTGCTTTTCAACTTCTTTGTCTTTGATTTGAACTTGATGCGCATTTCCTTGTACTCTGCTATCACCTCAGTAACGGGCTCTTCTAAAATCAGAATAACATGACTCTGGCATTTTTTTACGAATTCATTATTATTATTAATTTCGGTTACAGTTCAACTTTTAGCCCTTACCTTCTTCTTCAATTTTTCGTTCCTTTGGGCCGCGTAGTGCTTTCTTGTACTCCTTTTGAAGTGTCTTCAATTCGCCGGCCATTTCATCCCTAAAAAAGAATATCATACCTTGTCAATTCATTTTTAAAGATGATAAAATATACAATAAAAGCCTACAGTCGTTCTCGCTCTTTCTGCTTTCTTTCCTGTTCGATAATCGAGTCCAAATCCTCATCTTCTTCAGGCTAAAAATAGTATTGATAAAAACTCTTGCTAGCTAGATGTTATCATTAAACCTTTTGTCATCGCCATGTTTCCGTTTTTCGGCCAGCTTTTGCCGAATTCGACTCATCGACGTCAGATCTTGTGCATCTTCATCCTAAATCTTTATACTTTAAATCAATGATGCTAAAAAGAGTTCTTAAGTAAAAGCTCTACTGAATGCTTTGGCGAGGGTCTTAAAAGGTGCACTAGATGTTAAAAAGCTTCTTTACTAAAAAGGCTGCTAACCTTTTTTGACATACCGGGTCATAATCGGCCATTTCATCTCGTGTTACGGCGACTTGCTTGCTGAGTTGTTCATCATCGAGCGCATCGTGAGCACTTTTGCCCTTGTTGGAGAGCTTCTAAAAACAAAACATGGTTAGCACAACTTTTCCCAAAGACAGTAACATTACTTTTCTTAATAAGCTTTATTTACCTTATTGATTTGAGTCAGTTCATCTTCATCTTCTTCCGCCTCGTCGCCAAATGATAGTAGATTCAATTTCTTCGTCTCGGTCACTTTCGTTTCTTTCTTCTTTTTTCGTCGTTCTTTTTCCCTAAAAACATGATATTTAACCAAATCATATGTACAACAAATAAACCTTGGTCGAATGTCCTTGAATGGATTGGTTAAGACGTCGGCTCCGGTGATCTTGTAGAGTGTCTTTGGGCGCTCATTTGAATCCACATCCACCTCAGTCATCTTCAACATGTTGAACATCGTCGGACCAACAATCTAAAAAAGAACTTGTTGCTGAAAAAGATCAAACAAGCTAAGTTTTAAAATTTTACTATGACTATAAGTGAAACTCACTTTTCCAAATAATGTGTGTTTCCGGGTGAGCTCGCGCACCTGTTGTGGATCGGTGCCCAACGTGATGAAGAACTGCGATCCGTTATCGTCTTTTCCTAAAACAGGAAAATAATTTGATAAAATTAACTTAAAAACAAACCCGAATTTGCCATGCCGAGTAAGCCTCTCCGATTGAACGTCAGCCGTTGGTGAAACTCATCCTAAATTTGAAAAATTCAGACCAAAAGCTAACTAGGACAAAATTAAAGACATTCACGTTTTAAACCAGCACCTTGAACGGCTTTTCGTAAATACTTTCGCCTCCTTGGCCAGTTC